CTCCTCAGTAAGACCACGAAGACCATCATCGCCTTTCGGTGGAGGATTCTTTCGTTCCCATTCTTCGTCCAACTCATCCCAAGCTTCCCCGCTCTCATCATCAGCGCCCGGAATGTGCCCAACACCACCACCATCATCATCTTGATCCAAAGGCTCGGCGGTCTCCACCTTCTCATCAGCAGGAGGTCCTTCATCTGGGTGCGGATCGCCTTGAGGTTCCTTGGGGAGCATATAAGCACCCACCAAAAGGTATCGGTAGTCGTTGTGATTCGGATCCGCGGCCTTATTGCGAAATGGGCCAGCGATATCCAAGCCCAGACAAAACGCACTGGGATGCCGAACTCTGCGATGCACACGTCCGGTGGCCTTGCTCATAACACAAGTCTTGCATCTGCGGTCGTAGGGGATGTGGTTGTTGAGTACGTGACTCTTCCATCTCTTGAGCTCCTCATCAGTAAAGCCCTCTAAGAACTTCTTCGGATCAGCATCCAACCGTTTCATCCACCGCTCAACTTGTAGGCCCTCTGGACGCCATTTCCAAGTCTCCACTGCCTGAACCACAGCCTTCTTGAAGTCCTCGGTCCACGTAGTCGAACCACTGGGCAATTCAGGTAGCGCCGTAGGAAACGACATGTTCGTCACCACCGAGGATCCATGTTCCTCCAAGCACAGCTGCTCCAACAGGCCCTTCCAAGCCACACGCACCGTAGGCCAACGAACAAATTCTTGAGAATGCACAGCCGTGAGCAAGCGAGCTCCTTCAATCATCGAGAACACCGGTGGTCCTGAGAGGTGGGCTCGAGCACCCTTGGCAACGGCAAAGAGCCATAGCTGCTTCAACAGAAGTTGGGAATCACCTTCGTTCCGACAAGGGGGAGCTCCAAGAACACCATCCACTCTTCCCGTAGCCGCAGCCCATAGTAGAGCGCGATACACACCGGAGACCTTGTACATGTCATAAGCCATGGACTTCACGATGTCAACTTCTACCAACACTCTGGAATCCTCACAAGGACCTTAAACACTGGATCCACGCCCTTCCCGGAGCCCGCGTACAAGTGAATGATCCACGGTGTATTCATCAACCGCTTCCGTCTCTGCCTCGAACAAGGGATCGCCTTCAGGTAGTTCCAGCCCGCACCGTCGGAAAGGTCGACCTGCTCGCATAAAGCACTTCGCTCCACATCCGAGAGCCCTGCAAAAGGAGAGTCTCGAGCCTTCAGCGCCAGTAGTTGCGAAGATCGGGTCCCAGTCATCAAGAACTCCTCAAGGTGAGCGGCCCACTCTTTGTCACGGTCCCACATCCACAATCTCCTCTGGGTAGATCTGGTGGCATCCTGAAGCGCCTGAACCTTACGCTCCTCAAGCTCCTGAATCAACTCCAACGCACACGCTTCACCAACCAGAGGACATTTGCCAACCACCTGGAGCCGGATGACTCCATGTTGCGGGTGACGAATTTCCAACCCCTTGCGCCGAGTCCATTGTAATTCGCACCCCAAATCTTGGACCAGGGAGCCGAGCGGGACGATTGGCGCAACGTAAGCCTCCGAAGTCGAAGCCGTCTTGAGGAGGGTGCCCGCCGCATTCTGCGCCAGAGTGATCTCCGAGCCATTGGCCAGTTGAACATTCACTTTAGCTGCATCCACGACCTCCTCAGAAGCCATTCGGAACGGGTGACTCGCACCCGAGTCAAGGAGGCCTGATCGGCCCGTCACAGGACTACACCCATGAGCCACCGCTTCATTCTCCACTCGGGTAGACGACAGAGCCATCATCTTCAACTGTCTCATCTCCTTCAACATAGCGTTCGCCTCATTCAACAGCTGACGCATCTCTGCCTCCGGAATCGAAGGTGTAGCCGGCTCGTCCTTAGCCGGCGTCTCCACAATGCTGGTAGGTACCGACAACGTAGATGCCGCCGAAGAGGATTCAGAAGGTCCGGGTGCTGTAGCCATTGACGCTGCCAACTGGGCCACTGCGCCCTTTGCGGCTCCCTTTGGGGGCCGCCCGTTAGGGCTGCCACCGCCCTTCTTCACAGTGCAAGCCGCCTGCTGATGTTGAGTTGATCCACACGTCCAGCATCTGCCCGCCTTCTCCTTCTTCGAAAACACGTGGGAAAACTGACATCCACCACCCTTGCTACAGCCAGCATCTGTCAGGAAGAATTTGCATGGCACCTGACTTCGGTTCTTTGGCGTTCCAGGAACACTCTCCCCAGCCTGCTCACGGTTGCCAGAAGCCACCACAGCCTTCAACCTTGTTGTCTCGGTAGTAGAAGCACTGCTCGAAAGACTCCTCGTGGGGGCAATCATCTGGAGCTCCGCCAGGATCGTGTTGTAGAACCTGATCACAGACTCCTTCTCCGGTCGGCTATGAAGGGCGAGCTCATTCTTTGTCAACGACACCCGGAACTTAACATCTGGATGAGCTTCCAAGGATTTCTTCGAGATGTGCTCCACACTCCTTAGAAGAACAGACGCATCTGGAACCGAAATCCCAATGTCCTCGGCCCTTTGCAAGTAGCGTCTCCATCGCCTCAAAGCCGCGACACAAGATGATACATCATCGCCCACTGCCTGACCCTCCAAATGCTTGAGGATCGTTGTCCGTTCTGCGGACCCTCCCGGCTGGTAGAGCACGTACATCCTGAAGAGCAATGCCGGGACAGAGGCAATGCGGTGCGTGATTGCTTCGTCCTTCGCGGTCTTCTTCATCGAATTCAGCAGAAGGGTCATAACCTTCCGCTCTAGTCTCGACCACTTTGTGTCCTTCAGCTCAGCGGGGATCTCGGGAGTCAAAGACAAGCGTTGCAATGGAGAGGACGTTACATAAACATCGTAGGTATTCCTCGCAACCTCCAAGCAAGCACTGAACCACAAAGCTGCTCGGTCAGACAAACTGCCGATAGCCTGCTCCGCCTCGTAGATCCAGTCCGAGAATTCCACCGCTGCATCCGGCCCAACCTCCGGCATTGAAGGCAAATCCACTGTGCCCTTAAGGTCGCCTTCAGGGCGGCCAAGATAGGCTTGCTGGAGCTGAGCCATCCCCTGCACCAGGAGGCTCATTGGATCCCCAGTCGTAGGCGGATGTGCCGCCACATGTCCACGGCCATTGCCAGCCGTCGCATCTGTAGTCGGGATCGACCTCGGACCCACTCCGACTGCCGGTCCACCTCCTCCGGACCATTGTGGATCACCTTGTCCAAGTCCTGGCGGATTTCCTCCAGCAGCTCCCGAAGTGCCTTGAAGTCCGGGTGGATCACCTTGAAAAACATCGTGATCGTGCCGTAGAGGTGCTTGAGAGCCTCGCGCTCCGTCTGCAGCATCCCCTGGACGGACTCCAGCGCTCGGTTGCAGAACAGGGGATCTTCAAGAACACGGCCTTGATGACGAGCTGGCGTCTCAACGATTCCACCCTGGGTCACTTCCTTGGTGACCACAGTCTCCTGGGGCGCCAAAACACCTTCAGCTCCGCCTCCACCCTGATTGCCCAAGCCCGGAACCTCATTGAGCAACCGGCTAACCACATCACGAAGTTGTTGATTTTCACTCAATAGCGCTTGCTGCCTCTCTTCATGCTGAATCAACTGTTGTCGTACTTGACGTTGAACCTCTGCTACAATCTGCTCCTGCGACAAGGACTCCCTCGAGGAATTACTCTGAGGCTGCGCCTGAGAAGCTCCATACAACAAAGGAGCCCGCCGAACCCACTGAGCCATCTGCTGCTCTGCCGCGGTCGAGAACAGCCGTGGTCGTTGCGGAGACCCGGTCCAGCTCCCTGGCGGAGTCAAGTTGGCTTGTGGGAGGGGATCATCCTGCCGGGGGCGATGTTCCAAAAGAGAAACCATCGCGCCAGCCTGACTGACCCTGCGCTGCACGAACTCACCTAGTTTGAAAAGCCACATCCCATTCTGCTGAGCAGGCCTTCCATCCACAGGTCCTGGTAGGTCTTCGGGTGGGGAAACACTCATTCCACCAAGTAGAACACGCTGAGTCACCTGCTCAACGGTAGCCGAAGAATCTAACGTGCTCTGTACCGCGGGACCAGGAGAGAAACCTGGAGGTCCTGCAAGGTTCACATCCACAACGGCCTGACCTGAAGAGACTGACTGTATCGGCTCTAAAGTGGGCTGATCTTCACGTAGAGGGATTGGGACGTCAGCTGTTCTCACATTCGCACTCTGGTCAGCGACAGAGCCATCCAGTCCCAACTGCCCAGCAACATCCTGGCCCACACGGCCTGAAACAAGCTCTCCAGGCTCAACACTCGGGGTTGAGACAGCCCCATTAGCCAAGCCCTGGGCCTGGCCAACATCACCTGAAGCAGTCATAGCCCCATAGTCCGGTCCTCTTCCTTCACCTTCTAGCGAAGTTGGCATCAACGGTTTTGGGCTCATACCCTGAAGAGATCTTTCACTCTAAAGGGGTGAAGGAGGGCCGACCATGCACCGCAAGCGCTCACTAAACTTTTCGCACAGACCTGAAAGTCACTGCAACTTCTGAGCTTATGTTTAAGCTGTCGTACCAAGTTGAAGCTATCTGCTTTACAAGCTTCGACATGCCCAAGCTTCCAAGCTTAAGCCAGTTCACATGCACACATCAGTCTCATTGCTTATACACTCACATATACACAAGGTATGTATGCACATGTCTATGTCGGACATACTCGGCATCGGTATACATACGTACATACATACGGACGGACGGGCTGGACCTACATCTGCACATATGACTACATAATTGTACAGTATATGGATAGATGTATATACATATATAATATACATATACATATACAGATATATATATATGTACATATGTGTATATATGTATGTATGTATATATATATATATATGTATATATATATATATATTATAAGTATCCACAAACCGCAGATGAGGCACTGCAACTGAAGCCTGTGTGGTTTTTTGTGGCAGCAAGTTTTGGTGGTTGTTTCTGATATCTGTAAGCTTCTGCCACGAACCATCCCGCTTTGTTGAGGAGCGCTGTCGGCGCGATGCACGCTGCAAGTTTTTCACGAGCTGCGTGGCATGCATCAGAACATGTGAAAAAGAACGGCATCTTCTGCGTTTGTATATACATATATAGAGCTAATCTGCATTCAACGAAGCATCTAAATATTACTGTAAGTAAATAGGTGTGTATATGCATATATACATACCTAACCCTGACCGTGAGGAGCGGTCGCTGCTGAATCTGAACAGGCTTCTCTACCCTTCAAGCACGTAGGCGTGACACGTCTATGGAAGAAATTTGGCATTCTCCTTGCTGAGGTTACAGCTCGCTCTGGTGCTGCTGCGAGTTTGTGTTGGGAGACGGGGCAGTCGATTGACGGTACAGAGGCTCCAAGTGGTTCTTATAAAGACAAGTTAAGACCCGGAAGGAAGGATATCATGTTGCGTCCGGTCTACCGCACTGCAAACAGACACACACACACACACAAGCATGTATATCTGTATATATATATATATATATTCACACATGTACGCAACACTTGGGCAACTCCGCAAAATACTTGTTCGCCAGCTGATTTAACTACGCTGCTTCCGACGAGCTAAACCCTAAGCCAACTTTTGAGACCCAACACGGTCAGGTGATCCTAAATCAGCACTGATTCGCAAAAGTTCGAGGCTTCTTTGGGGTTTAAGGCCCGCTGGGTTCAGACGGGAGTCTCTTTTCCCGACACGCGAAGAAGCTCGATTGAGCCTCGATTGGGTCTTGCAAAGCATCTGCAAAAGCTGTAGTTCTCAGAACCCATACTTGCGGACCCCTTGCGCCAAGGGCCGTGTAAAGCCTCAAATGTTCTTCAACAGCGACGTGCAAGTTCAAGCTCTAAACCCTGCAGCCAGAAACCCGAATACTTATCTTTGAAGGACATACTATACACGGAAAACAATGAAGGAACCCTTCAAAGGAGCCCTTATAGGATCCCTTTATAGGATCACGTGATCCCTTTAAAGGAGCCCTTCTAGGATCCCTTGGAAAATATGGGTTTCTTAGGTTCCCGGTCGGGCTTTGGTCTGCCAGGTGTGCAACATACGCAGACTGCGACGAGGAGCCGTCTTGTCATGCGTGCGGGGTACCTAGAGGCTCCATAGTAGTTCCTTCTTGAGGTATGTATTTACAATAGAGTCTTATACATAAGGTAATCCCAAAAAGCAAGTGCTACTATGGAGCCTATGGGTAAGCATTGCTTAGGCTGAAGTTTGCAGGGTTCACACATTGCTGAGCATGCCGATGTCAGGTTTGTGAGGTGAAGTCTTGCACATGCATCCTAAACCTTAAGCCCTAAACCCTAAACACACTAAACCCTAAAGCACCATAAACCCTGAACAGTAAGCCCTAAACCGAGCAGCCGCGAACCGAAAACCTAAAGCTCAGACCTAAGCCTGGACCCTAGCCTCAGCCCTAAATCCTGCCAAGTGACACAGTGTCAATATGTGGGCCGAAATAATTGTGCAGGGTTCCGTAGATCAAGTTTTGTATGATGGGCCCCAAAACCCTGTTCTGCTTGTTAAGGCCCCTAAAGTAAGCCTTGTTGTCAAAGCTTGTCCCAAAAACAAAAGGACCTTAAAGGAGCCTGGAGTGGCTTGAATAACTACCTTGACATACCAATACTATTATTATTCCATTTGAGGTTTAGGATTTAGGGTTTAGGGGCTTGGGGTTTGGGGTTTCGGTTTAGCGGTTTAGGGTTTACCCACAGGCTTCATTGCAGCTCCTTCTTGGGACTACCTTATAGGATCCTAAATATAACCACAGAAAGGAACTACTATGGATCCTCGAGGTACTAATACTATTCCTTGAATTTCCTCGTAAACCCTGGTAAGAGCCACAGCTAGCCACTAGCTGTACGTACAGCAGAAGGCTTCTCGTTGAAGGTGCGGGGGTCTGTGGTTAGGTGCGGGTGTCTAGGGTTGGGGTCAAGAGATGTTCAGGGTTTAGGAAGACATCGCTCTCAAAAGCCAGCAAGCCATCGCGAGTGTAGCTCGAGTCCTAGAATGAACCCTCCAGTCTGCCTGCCCAAAAGCCTGAAAACCCTGGAAGCATTGTAGTTCCTTCCTTCTATATAGGATCCTAAATACAAACCGCAAACAGGAAGTACTTTGGAGCCTCCAGGTAAGCCTCACTCACTCACGTTGCCTGGTCCAAAGGTCCGCAAACAAACATGCAACCCCCAAAAGTGCACTTGCTGTAAGTGCACAGGGTTCTAGGTAAGCCCCTGAATCCTAAACCCCGAACCCTAAAGTGTGAAGTCCTGAGCACCTTTGGGTCCTGGCCAGGAGATCCCTAGTGCAGCGACGGCCGGAAGCTCGGATGTACTCTTGGTTTGGGGTTTAGGGTTTAGGGCTTGGAGTTTGAGCTGAAAGAGGATTATGTAGGGGCTTCTTCAGCTCATAGATAGGATCTTGTACGGGGTCCATAGGGTTGTATTGAAGGGCCGTTGACCCAAAACCTGAAACCCAACCCCTAAACCCCTAAACCTCTAAACCCTGAACTAAACTCTAAAGGGGCTTTGTAAGATGGACCAAGACCGACCTTCGGCCACGGCAGAATGCATCGTGTGACACTGCTCAGCATCCCGTCAACCTTCAGCCCACTGGGTTGTTTCGGAGGCCTCAAAAGGTGGGATGAAGGGGGTAGGATGAAGGATCCCTTATACAAGGACTCTTTAGTGGGAGTATCCCACCTTTGGAATTAAAGGGCCCACCTGAGTCCAGAAGAATAGGTTAGAAGGTGCCCCCACCCTGTAATCGTGGTATAATAGGAATATAATAAGGCCCTAATATAATCCTTAGAGTCACTATTACAGGGTGGGGGCCCCTTCTAAAGAATAGAGTACAACGGTATTGAGTTTGAGGCTCAGGCTGTCTGGTTCTTACTAGGGAATGGGGGAACGGATTATGGAGACTACTATTGGGGATTATATAGGGACTGCTATCGGGATCCATTCCCCCATTCCCTGCTAAGCACCAGACAGTAGGTTTGGAGATGGAGTTCGCGGGACGACGGCGAGCCGTTATCTGAGGTGTCTTAGGGTCCCTTTAAGGGGTTCTATACGGGTCCCTTCATAGGGTTCTATAAGGATACTATAAGAGTCCCGTTAAGGTCTCCTGTCACCCCGAAAAACCCAAAAGCGTGAAGTGAATATTCATGGCACCAGATGCCACTGCCGTCCATTCAAACTTGCTCCTTCCCATCTGCACGCAGGGTTGAGATCTAATTACACCCCAAACCCGAAATCCTTAATCCGAAGCCCTAAACTCTAAACCCTAAACCCCAAACCCTAAATCCGCAACCCTTCACTCTGAACCCTGTCTTTCCAGCCTTTGACTTCCTTCAAGCGTTAAGTGTGCCCCTCCCCCCCCTCCCCCCCTCAGGTCCTCCGCGTAGGGGACGCCTTCGCTTCCGAGTTCTTCGGCGAGGCGTCCGCGCGTGGCAACATGCGCGCTCAAGTCTTAGGGTTTAGGGTAAATAGGGGCCTTAATACTTAGAATAGCGTTCCTTTCAACGTGTTCTTACAAAGGGGTTATAAGGGTACTACACCCATAGGGTCCATAGTAGTTCCTTTTTGAGGTTGCCTTATAGGATTCTAAATGTAACCCCCGAAAAGGAACTACAGTGGAGCCTATCGGACTGCAGGGGTTCAGGATTTAGGGTTCACGCTTCAACGGTTATGGCCCTGCAGAGGAGCTACAAACAATGGGTCGATATCAGATCTATAGGTCAGAACGCCCTATGTGGGAGTTTCCGAAAATTAGGGGTACCTTACTTTGGGGTCCTGATGATAAGGATCCTACTTTTTAGGGTACTATATTAGGGTCCGTATTTGTTATAACACCCGAGGCAAATCCAGAGCAGCAGAACTTAGGGTTTAGGGAAACTGTGGGGTGTGAGAGTTCGGGGCCCTTTCGGGTTCGGGGAGTCTCACAGATCCTGGTTTGAGGGTTAAGGGTCTAGTGTTTAGGGTTTGAGGGGTCGGGTTCAGGGTCTACGGGAGCTCCAGGGTTGCTGGGTTTTGGGCTTTCGGGCTTTTCAGAGTTTTTGCCCACTTCCTGCAATGCCGGTTTATGTTAGTCTTAGTTTCATTATTGTTAAGATTGGGCATGATTAATAATATGTGTAAACATACAGACAGACAAGCGCGAACACGCACACACACACAGACACACAGGACGTCTGGTCCAGAAACTCCGCGAGGCTGCCACGTTCGGCCTCGCATCACTTCCATATGCGCCCATCGTGCTACTGGCAGCCAGACAGTCCAGTGAGGACCCCAAACCTTGCCGGTTCAGAATTCAACTAGAGAGATTCTGGCTGCAAGGGTTCAGCAAGGTTTCTAGCTTGACCGAGTGAGCTTACAGCTCTGTCAGTTACAGTCTGAAGTAGGATGTTTATGGAGACCCCACTACAAGTGTGGCTGTCAAAGCTAAGGCTTAAGGTAGCAATTGGCATGTGGAATCGGGTTTAGGTTGCCTCGGAACCACTAAACCCTAACCCCTCAAACCCCTAAACCTGGGCTTTTGTGATTTCGTGATTTGGGCTGTGGCAGTAGCCACGTACACTTTTTCACGATGGTGGTCATCGTCGTCATCATCACCATCACTAGCGGCATCGGACCTGTTTTCTTTCATCGGGGTTATCGTCATTGCCTTTGTCGTCACCACCGTCGCTGTCATTTATTTTCTTTGCATCATCGACCGCCGAAAAGTATCTTTATCGTCGCAACCGTTGTCATCAGTGTAAGTTGCTGCTACGGTCATCATTAAAGTCAAGAAACCCAATCGCGGTCATCATCGTGTTCTTCTTGATTCACGGCTATCACCAGCAGCAGCATCTTAAAACTGTGAGGCTTTGGATTGGGATTGGGGGATTGTAGCTGAAGCCACCGGATCCTCCAGTATGATGCTTTAGGGCTTTTGCGCGCAACCTTCAACACTAAACGCTTCAGTCTAAACTCAGGCAGGTCTTAGGGGTTTTGGGTATTTTGGGATCACGGAATAGCGTTTGAGGGTGTGCCTGAACCCTAAACCCCTAAGCCCCGAACTCTAACCAGGACTCAAGGGTTGAAACCATGGGCCCCCAGTATGGGCCCTTAACCCTGGGATCCTTATATACCTACTATATACCCTATATAGACTCTTAAGGGTCCCTAGAACTCCCTGAAAAAGGCCTAGGGTCCATATTAGGGGCCCATACTTCTAACCCTAACCAGGACTGGGGTGGCGAGAGTGGCCGGGCCATTGACGGCCTCTCCGAGACGCACTTTCTCCGCGGCAGCTGCAGCCGGGAGGACCCAGTCTTCCTCGGATGTATGAGGGCGTTTAGAACTTGGGTTAGGGTCCCTTTCTGGGTCTCTAATGGAATACGGCACCTATTATTTATTGTACCCAAAAAGGGGCCATAATTTTGACAACCACCCACTTACATCCCCACTACCCAACCTTTAAACTTTTTGGGTTCTTATAGTTTAGTAGGAATCGGAAAGTTTAACCTTTTATTTCTGTGGCTTACTGGGGGAGTAAGATAAGCTGTTGGGTTAAAGGGCTTGGTAGGGTTTCATCACACGTCTTGTGTTTCTTAGTGGGCATTAGAGGGTTTCGGGTTTATAAGAAGTTGTCCATCAGGCATTGTCGAGCAATGTCAAAGGTGTTCGAGTTCTCTATTGCAAAAAATTCTCTAAGTGTTCCACGAAAGTTCTTGAAGAGATTTTGAGAGTTTCAACAGGGGATGCAGCGATTTCTGGCTAATCGCACGGAAGTATCAACACATTGAAGGTCTTTGGATTTAGCTTGTTCGGGTATAGGTTATAGGGACTAGGAGTTGTGTTTTAAGGGTTTAGGGTTTAGACTTGAGGTGCATTGCCCTTACACCTTGCACCAGCAATAGACCCCCGAAACCCTGAACTCCAGAGATTTTACCGGGTGTAAGAAGCTTATATAAAGGGTTACTGCTTCTGGTACCGCAGAATTGAACTTTCGGGTGTTGCAGATTTGGGGATTCAGCTCAAGGGCGTGGGGGCCTCGGGATTCAGAAGCTCTAGGTAGAATCTGGGTAGCTAGGAAGCCCTGTGCTTGGAGTTGGTAAGTTGAGCTGTTGTTTATTTTTTTGGTGACCTCAGTCTACTCAGCTGAAGCATTGAAGCAATCTCGCTTGGCGTTTGTGGCTGGACAGTTCGGAGATTGCGGGTTTAGGAGCGACGGCTGTAGACTTAGAAGAGCGGCGGATGTTTGTTTCTCTTGTTCGCTTTCAGCCGCAAGCTTCCCAAATCAAAAAAAACTCTAAACCCAAAACCCCAACCCTAAAACCCTAAAACTCTATAGACTAAGTGAGACCTGAGTCCCAGCACTCTACAGCTCTAAGCCCTAGTCCTTCATGCCCCTAGGCCTGAAGTACAAACCTACAGACCCAAGCCCTAAATCTGTAGTCTCCTTTGGAATTTTTTGTCTTGTTCATATAAAACCCCAGAGAAGATTTAACATATTGGTTTTACTATGGTTCTAAGGCGGGTATAGACATTTCTTGCTTCTCCAAAGCCCTGATGTCACAAGCTACAGACCCAAGCCCTAGATTTCTTGCACTTTTCAGGTCACACAGCCGGTGGCAGCGAGGATCCCCCTCAGGGCTACGATTGGAGCTTTTGGATCTTCCAGCCCGAAATTGCTCGAAATTGCCCAGAGCACGGTTTGGCCTATGATTGAAGTAAGCCTGCCTGTAGCTGAAAAGACCTACCTTTTTAAGGAGCTTTATATAGAAGCCATAATAAGGAACCCTAAAGAGGTGGACCCTTTCGGCTACAGGTATGCCCTAGACCCTGAAGCCTCAAAGGGTTTGCTTCTGAGCATCCTGCTTATGGATACCTTTCTTGAGCACGGATTCAGAAGCTCGGGGCTTTGTGCTGTACAAGAGTCCGCTTGAGCTGCTCCTAGCTGCCTAAACCCTAAACCGCTGGAGCTAGCCAGTGCTTCGAAATCTGGATCCCTAAACTTACCCCCCAAGCCGTCTGAAACCCTAAACTAGACTCGGCTACAGCTCGAACTGTCGATCGCTTTGTGGAGGTTTAGGGGGTCTAGGGTTTAGGGTTTAAGCTTCGGGGATTCAGTGGATTTTTTTGCCACCGGACAGAAGTTCACCGTGGTACGCACACGGATCTTTGCCAACAGCAGACAACAACAGACAAGCTGGCTCGCTTCTTTGCATAGGAGCCGAAGGTATCGGCCCCTCCACTATTGGGGATGTTAGCTTGTTGGGTGGCGTCTAAAAATCGACTGCACCCCCCTCAAATGCCACCAAACCTTCCCAAAGCCTTTACCCAAACCTCAGTCCAAACTTCCTGCAATTGACGGACAGTTCCTGGTTCCTGACATGACACTACCTATAGTCTCCACGGTAGTTCTGTTTTTCGGTTTAACCAAATATATAGTTACAATCCTATGAGGTAACCCCCGCAAGGAACTACGATGGAGACTATGGGTAGGGGTAATCCATAGATGACGACACTTGCAATGTAGAGACGAATAAAGCTTGTCTACTGGCTTAGTATCAGGATTGCCCCTTCTAACCCGGAAGAGGTATGCTACGCAGGGGTTGGGACTAGGGGATATCACTCTTGACCGGCCTAAAATCATCCTATATCCTTTTCTTTAGTTTAGGGTGCGGGGCTTAGGGCTTAAAGGCTAAATCCGCGCAGTCAGAGGTCTGCCCCCGCTTCACCCGTAAACCCCTGAACCTGAAGCATTGTTGAAGCCTCTTTGCAAGGAAGATCCTCGCGGCGCTTGGTGGGTGGCCGAAAGTGTCGCTCGCATCCACATTTTTCTGGAAAGGTCAAAAGCCATGTGCGTATAACAACTCATAGGTGATACCTTGGGAATGAAGACAGAATTTATACGGCTTATAATACTAACAGAAGCAAGACGAATCATACGAGCAAGACTAAGCGTCGTGATAGTAGTACTGTTGTAAGTCATGAAAACAACAGTAAGACTGTTGTGGTAGTAAGACCGTCACCAAGAGCCAAGCCTGCAGCAGCAATAAGAATCTGAGTTATGAACAAGAATATGCATGCAAAGGCAGCATTAGTCAGCACATACATCCCCCAAAGTAGTTTGTTACCGTTATATCGTCCTGACCAAGGACCTTAAAGCTTATAGTGAGCCTCGCTTTAGAGAAGCCCCCTGTACTAAAAGGACCTGGAGACTAAACTTTTCGTGCTGCAGGTCAGGACTCAGGAAAAGTCGGCTCACTAGTTGCTACATAGCAGGCTTAACCTCAGAATGACCTGATAATGAACTAGGGAATATCAGAATTGTATCAGGAAGGAGAAGCCTGATAAAGGAGCTCAGGGTTGTAAATCCCCCAAGAAACAGGAACCAGGCGTTTCCTGTTCGGGTCGATTGTTGCAGACGAAATCCGGAATCCTAAACCCTAAACCTCAGTGTGCTTCTCGGAGAACAGAAGAGCCAGATTTGTCAGTTGAATTTTGCAGCGGAGCGAGAAAGGACCCAAAGTGCTCCTAACCTTTGCACTCGCACGAAACCTGTTCAAACCCTGACAAAACCCCATAAAGTCCTCGTGCTACTTTGTTGCATGATTCGCGACTCAATGCCCCTAAGTCCTAAACCCTGAAGCCCTAAACCCATAAAGCACTGGTGCGCTCTTAGGGGTTTGAAGCTTGATAGACTCTAGACTAGTAGGCCTTGAGAGACGTGGCTAGAATTGGTGTGTTCTTCATATCCCCGGCACATCTTATCCTCGAAGCTTTGCTGAAACTGTGTTTCTTTGGCTTCGGGGTTCGATGCAGCTCTTGGATAGAAGGCTTGAGGGCCATGGTTGAAGAGAAGAAACCTTAGACCAACACACCCGTCTCCGTTGTGTGGTCCCGTTACAAGGTTACTCCATCCGTTTAGGCTTTAGCGTTGAGGGTCCGTTCTGATCTTCGAAGATCCTAAGCCCTAAACCCTAAGGTCTTCGAAGATGGTGCCCTTGTAGAACCCCTGCAGAAGCCTCGAATCCCAAATAGCAAACAGCATGGGGGCCTCAATAGTTAGAATAGGGTTTGGGGGGTATAGTATACTATTTTCACAATAAGGCACCCCCCAAAACCCCATGTTTTACTTATTAAGGCCCCTACACTAAAGGAAGCCTAGTAACACCCCTACATTCGCCTGCTCTTCGTAGGCTCTTTACTTGGAGGGTCGGGGGATTTCGTAACTGGTTATTTTAAGGACCTATAAGTACCATAACCCCAATTAGGGTCCCGTTTAGGGTACTTATAAGTCTACATACTACCTACTTACGAAGTCCCTGAACCCTAAACCCTATAGTACCCCTATAGAGCCCTTTAAAGGAAGCCCTAGAATCTCCTTGAAAGGAGCCCCCTACGAAGTCGCCCGACCCTCCAAGTATGGAAGAGTCACAGGCGCGGCCGAACTGGGCAGTCGCTGCTGTGCGAATCCTTGGCCGTCGGGGACTCCCGGGTGTAGTTTAGGATTTAGGGGTTTAGGGTTTAGGGTTTAGGATTTAGGGGTTTAGGGTTTAGGATTTAGGGGTTTAGGGTTTAGGATTTAGGGGTTTAGGGTTTAGGACTTAGAGGTTTAGAGTTTAGGATTTAGGATTTAGGGGTTTAGGGTTTAGGGTAATTATGCAGGGTTTAGGATTTAGGGGTTTAGGGTTTAGGGTTTGCAGGGCTTAGGGGTTTAGGGTTTAGGGTAATTATGCAGGGTTTAGGGTTTAGGACTTAGGGGTTTAGGGGGTTGATGTTTGCAGAGTTTAGGGTTTAGGACTTAGGGGTTTAGGGTTTGAAGGGTTTAGGGTTTAGGGGTTTAGGCTTCAGGGTTTAGGGCTTGTAGAGTTTAGGGTTTAGGGGTTGAGGGTTTAGGGTTGAGGATTTAAGGATTTAGGGTTGAGGGTTAGCCGGGTTTAGGGTTTGATCTTTAGAGATGAGTTAGACTTTCAGACATACTAGGTAAGGTCTGCCCGGAGATTCCAATACCACCGCAGTCGTTTGAAGAATGTTCCTAAACCAAGGGATCTCTGCCGGTCTTCGTGCCTCCACAGTGATTGCGGAATCAGTGTGAAGGCTTGACGAGGACAGCCGGTGATCGATGCACCTTACCTTACCCTTACTTGGAGGTACATGGGTAGCTATAAGTAAGGTCATAAGTAGGGTATATATACTTATAACCCATATTTTTGGGCGACTTGTGACCCCACGTATAACTACCTATGAACCTCCAAGTACCCATCACCATGCAATATTGTTGCAACTCATACTGAGGAGGTAAGAAGTTACGATGGGGTCCCATCTTAAACCCCTAGACCCTAAACCCCTAAACCGTGTTGGGCATATCCCAAGCCCCGAGCTCGATTCTCCGATCCATACCCGCCCTTGGTTTTGGTGCTGCAAACCTCCCAGCCCAAACCCCCAAACCCTGAATCCCTCACGACTTGAATGGCATTGACAAAATTGCTGGGGCTAGAAAACTTGAAACCAGGGTTTAATCAGCGTATATTATTAGATAATGACTGTATAGGGTTTGTAAGAGGACATGGTGACGAATGATTTCGACCCCTATATGTGGAGCCTCTCCCATGCATTGACATGCGTGAGCAAGGGATGGCCTTTTCCTGGAGCTTGCCACCAACGACAACAATCCTGCGAGTCCCTATATACAGAAAGCACACAGCCCTGAGCCGCAGATCCCGGAAATCCCTCTCCCTCGTCGGCTTCCGCCTTGGATTCTTGACTTGTGCAGTCTTCGATTCGATGGGCGAAGGCTGCTTGGAGGGTTGAGGGACTTAGTAACTGGTTATCTTAGGGACTTATAAGTACCATAACCCCAATTAGGTCACGGTCCCTTTTAGGGAACTTATAAGTCTACTTACTACCTACTTACTAAGTCCCCCGATAAGTAGTTGCCCTCCATAGCTCTTCCATCGACCCTGCACGTGCGCTGCGTGGACAGTTGCGACAGTCAATTTGGTGGTTGTCAAAATTAGGGTCCCTTTGTGGGTACCCCAAAGATTAGGTGCCGTACTATATTAGGAACCCAAAAAAGTACCATAATTTTCACAACCACCCAATTATGTGAGTGTCGCGGAAACAAGCCCCGCACCTTTCGAATGTTGCTCGTTTGGGGATTGTGACGGTTGCAGCCGGCTCCGTCAACAACGTCCGCCGGCACCTCCAGGATCTTGGTTTCGCCCGCCCGACGGAACAGTTCTTATAGGGAACCTTACTCGAGTTTCAGACCTTGACCCAACCCAAGACCCTCCAACCCTGTGAATAAAACAACCAAACCAGAAACCCCCAAACCCCAAACCTTAAGAGCCTCAGCAACTTAGGGTGGGACTGCTGCAATGAACGGCTTGACAACTGGGAGGCGGTTCCAGCAGTGCGTTTGGCTTAAGGTTTAGGGTTTAGTAGTTTTGTGGTTTTGGGCTTGTGGTTTAGCGATTATGGTGTGCGTAGCTTTTGGTTGGGGGTAATGTTTGCATTAGGGTTGCGCGTGTCAAAGGGGGAACAAATCAAAGCGTTTGCAAGAGGGTTTACAGCCAGCTTGCAGGATTTGTTTGCGGTGTTAGGGGCTGCAAAATGTTTTGGCTTCATAAGAAGGCTGCTCAGTGCGGAACTGTTATTCAGACTCTTAGCTGCCTGCGGTTGAAGGTTTCCGATCCTTCAGTTTACGTTCTCAAATGTCAAGGTTTCCATTTGATTCAACCGAACTCGTGCCAGCAGACTAACTTGCGGTTTACGGTTTATAGTTTCGGGGTTTACAGGCTTAGGGTCTAGCTTTCCCTACACGAAACCCGAAGCCCGAAACCCTAATTTCTCAGGGCAGTTAGTTCTGCAGGGGCGACTCAAACTCCGCGGAGAGAAAGCCCAGTGCCCTTTTCCAAAAAGTAAAGACTTGGGGGGTGCGCGAAACACGTTAGGTCACCCACTCTAAACTCGCAGAACGCTAAAGCCAGTTGCATGAGGTATCTTGGGATAAGACCAGCTCGACAGAGGGTTTTTCCACATTCTTGGGGCTTGACATGGAGCATCCCAAGAGAGTTTTTCCACACGTTTGGGGCTTGACAAGGAGCATCACACAAGGGTCTTTCCACATCTTTGGGGCTTGACAAAAAGCCTCGCAAGAGAGTTTTCCACACGTTTGGGGTGCGACAAGGAGCATCCCAAGAGAGTTTCTACACATCTTTGGGGGTTGACAAGGAGCCTCGCAAGAAGGCTTTTCCGCATCTTTGGGGCTTGAGAAGGAGCAACGCACGAGAGCGGCAACATTTGTGGAAACTCTGTCGTGTTTGCGGAAAAGTTTGCGGAAACATTTTTGGAAACCCTGTCGTATTAGCGGAAAAAACTTGTGGAAAATTTGTGGAAATTCTGGCCGTGTTTGTGGAAAAACTTGCGGAAACATTTGCGGAAACTCTGGTCGTGTTTGCGGAAAACGTTGTGGAAACACATGTCGTGTTTGCGGAAAAGCTTGCGGAAAACATGCCGAAGCCGTAAAATTCTAAACTTCAACACGTTTTGGCATGACACGGACATGTTTTCCAAAATCTTTTTCCGCACATTTTTCCGCAGACCGCAAATGTTTCCGCAGGTTTTTCCGCAAGCACGACCAGAGTTTCCACAAATGTTTCCGCAAGTTTTTCCACAAACACGACGTCGTGTTTGTGGAAAATATCGGCATGTGTTTCCACAACGTTTTTCGCAAACACGACCAGAGTTTCCACAAATGTTTCCGCAAGTTTTTCCACAAACACGACGTCGTGTTTGTGGAAAATATCGGCATGTGTTTCCACAACGTTTTTCGCAAACACGACCAGAGTTTCCACAAATGTTTCCGCAAGTCTTTCCGCAAACACGACAGACTTTCCACCAATGTGTCCGCAAGTTTTTGTGCAAAGACGGCAGACTTTCTGCAAATATTTTCGCAGGTTTTCCTGCAAACAAATGTCCGATTGGAGACTAAGTCTGCGGAATCTTTTTGGTCTGGACCCGAATCCTGTGGAAAAACGCATCCGTTCAGCACCCAAAGCTGTGGAAAAAGCTGCTCGGTGCAGACCCCAAACTTGCGGAAAACAGTGCTTGTTCAGAGCCGAAAGTTGTGGAAAACCGGGCCTGGAATTGTGGAAAACGGCTCTTTGCACCACGACTTGCAAAAACCTTTACAAGCTGCTCATATAAAGGAAGTTAAAGTTTAAGAAGCGTGTTTGGCGCACCCCTCAAGTAAAGACCTTACATTAAGGGAATCCTTAAAGGAACTCCTGAAAGGAACCTTTCAAGTGCCCTAAGGGAAGTCTAAGGAATCCTTCCGGGCTTCCGGGTAGCGCAAGATCTCCGTAGAAACATCATCTAAACGCCAGGCTTGCAGATCTCTGCTCTGTTCAACGCTGGCCCAACCGTATTCTAGCATCAAGGCCCTTAGGCTTGCCTTTGGTTAGTAGGGAATGGAGGAATGGTAGCAATAGCAGTTATACGTGTACCCCATTCCTCCATTCCCTACTAACCAAAGGTAAGTAGGTACTGCAATCACGCAATCACAAGTCCCACATTCAAGCTTCGTACGATGTCCAAGGTGGCCAGAGCTCAAGTACCAAGTCAGGTTTCAAGCTTACTTCAAGCCCTGACAAAGGTATGAAGAACCCTAACAAAGAAGGCAGAGGTCTGCACAACGGCTTATATGGCTTCTTAATACGGTTCCAGTATGATACACTCCATCTCAAAACCGCATCAAAGTAAGTATTGCTGGCCGTGTCGTATCTAGTAAACAGGTGCGGGTGGGAGATAATCCCGATCCCTGGAAGAATCCTCGATGTGGGCCCAGGCGCAGCCAGGGCTTTCCTGCCGTAGTACCCCTGGGGGTTCCTCCGAAACAGTTATAATATGCTGTACACCAAAACTTCCTTATTGTATGTGATCATAAACCCTAAACCCTAAACCCCTAAACCCTAAACCCCTAAACCCTAAACCCTAAACCCCTAAACCCTAAACCCAATAATAGAGCCCATGCAAAGCCCTTCGAATTAGAATCGGAGCCCTGCACTCCCAAGCCTAAAGACCTAGATCCTTGGCCGTACCTAAACCCCTTCAGACCCAAAGTGTTTTGGGGACGTGTATACGGCGATCTTCAGAAGGGGCCCTAACAAGTAACAAGGGAGATTTTTTGGGGGGAGTTAGGTTTATGTAAGGTTTAGGCTCAAAATAGGTGCATAATGTTCAAACAGCGTATTGGGGTATTTCGAGTATAGTTGTATGTAGAGGTCATGCAATTCGCGCATGTCGGCAAGAGCTCGCAGCTTTTCTTCTTATGTGGGCCCATGCTATTACACAAACACGAAATTGCCAACTGCACACTTGGTTCTTGGTGCAGCTACGCTGCTTCGTCAACATCGGCGGCCCCCCACGCGCCCAAACCCTAAACTCCAAGGCCTAAACCCCAAACCCCAAATGTTAACCGTAAACTGGCATTGGGGTCCACGGTTGGAAAGCTGTGGCAGGATCTCACTCTGCAATATAGGAGCCTGAATAATGGAGATCCAGCATTGTTTTTTTGTATACTTGTATTACCTACCCTGAACGAAACGTATGGTAATTATTTACGCATTATTTTATATACTACAATTGTTGTTTTTTTCGTCTCTCCGTTCACTGTGTGCCACCAAAAGCGTCTCGTATCTCCGTTCGTATTGCACTCGAAAGTTAGCCATGAAGACGACGATGTCGTGAGCTAACATGTTTGCAGCAGGCTTCACATCTACAGCGTGTAGTAGAACCTACGGAGTCTAGTGAGTCGGGCTATAAGTGCAGTAAGCCGGGCCAAGGACTTTCAACAGATTCCGGCAGTTGCACTTCGGAAGTTGCAACAAAACACTGAGCCTTTGCTGCCCGAAGCGCTGCACATCTAAGTGTCATGCATCGCGCTCTTCGTGTTGAGCGCATGTAAACCTCCGAAGCCCGAGACCCTAAACCAATCGTATAGTACAATTTGTAAGGGTCCGTGTGTTCAGCTCGAAACACCACATTTGATGTGCAACAACCCCATGCACCCACAAAGCACGACTACAAGCCCAAGAAGTTTCTGACTTTGCAACCGTAAAGCCCTTTGAGCTACAGCCCCTAGAAGTAACCCTTAAACCGTGAGAAGCCCAAGTGTCTGCCCCCGTGGTTTCCTGAAGCAAGACATGCCGGGTGGCCTAAACAATCGGTTGCTCACATCCCATGATACACTTTAAGGAAACCGTATAGCCCCTCAACCCTAAACCCTTTAAAGAAACCCCTTAAGGAGACCGTATAGTCCCTCAACCCTAAACCCTTTACAGCAACCCCTGAAAACCCTTGAAAAGCCCTGAACCACGAGCGCAGGCAAGGAATGCTTCAGCCAGGCGGCCGCCGGCTGATTCGCTGCCCCTTGGAGCCGTTGCTTTGGGCCTTCTGGGAGTTCAGGGTGTTTTTGGGTTTAGGGTTTATAGGGTTTTTGGGGTGTGTTTATTGAGGGTTTAGGATTTAGGGTTTAGGGGGTTGTATTTTTGGAGCTTTTTGTCTGGGAATTCAGAGGTTTCGTGTGTGTTTGAGGTCTTCTTTTGATTTTTATTGCAGGTTTCTATCGTGTTTCATAGACGACGATTACTAATGCTGCGACGACGACGACGATTTCCGACCCGGTAGTCTACAGTGGAAAGCAGGGCAAGGGAGTGTTTTCCGAAGGTCTCAAAAGCCGTGCTAAGCTGTATATGTGCCTTGCGCAAGCTTAGTCAGATCGTGACCTAAACCCCATAGCCCAAGAGCCTGGTTGAACCCCACTATGTAACGATTTGAGATGTTTGTTAATTTCGCGCACTGTTTATTGCACGGTCCTAATCATATTGGGGGACTGTTGAAATCGACACCTGGCCCAAGATGCTTGACCCCTTAAATGAAACGCACCCCTCTTGTTCGAAAACTCCCCAACCCTAAACCCTAGATCCCCTGTAGATCCCTTTAAGGAACCCTTATAGATCCCCTGTAGATCCCTTTAAGGAACCCTGAAGGATCCCTTTAGTAGGCCGTGCCAAGGTTCAGGCGAAGCAGTGGACTTCATGCAGGGCAGGTTCGTGGGAGCTCCTGGCGGGTGTTGTCATGCGTTACCTATAGGGTTCCTCTATAAGGGTTTAGTATAGGGGCCTTAATAATTACCTATACCACTTGATGGGTTCTGATTATAGTAGAATGGGCCCCCAAAACCCTATTCTGATCATTAAGGACCCTACGTTATGGGTTTAGGGCCGTTTAGGGTGTGGTGGGGCTCAAGGTTCCGGGTTTGGGACCTAAAGGCCCACCCAGTACACCTTTACAGCTGACCATGATGACTCCAGAAACTCGGAGACTTATGGCTCCTGCCCTTACCTTTGGTTAGTAGGGAATGGAAGAATGGTAGTATAGAGTCGTACCCCATTCCTCCATTCCCTACTGACCAAAGGCAAGTTATGGCTGCCGGGCCGTGATGTTAATAGCTGGAACTTTCTGACAGCATGGGGAGGAAGGGGGATAGGCTGGGATGGAGCTTCAAGAGAAGTTTTGCTTTTGCCGGGTTGACAACCCAAGCCTATACGTACTCCCCAGGTCTAAACACCGAATTCAGCCAGTGCGGTATCCATATACCAGAAGCTTTGTGTGATGTTTACGTGTGTGTGAAGCGTGTTTTCGCCCGCACCTTTGAAGGGCCCGCTTCTTTCCCGAGGTTTCTTTGCCCCACAAAATCCTGTACCAATCCGAAGCACGGCGCCAAGCAATCTACCCTGAACTCCAAACGCCAAAACAGCCCTGGTGGCTGATCTCTTGATTCTGCTACATTTGGTAGATTCGCCAAACCAGGGCGCCCTTCATGATGCTGTTGAATTTACGGCATTTCAGGGTCTCAGAGTCATGGTTTAGAACTTCGGGGTGTTAGAGTTCAGAGTGCCTTGGGTTACCTTGCGGAGATGATAAGGGTCTTCGGGTTTTGCCATGTTTTGCCGCTCCCGGCCTTGATTGAGAGATTCCCGCTGCAGGGCTATGCAGCACCCCAAACCCTAGACCCGGATGACGAACCGGAGCCTATGGCCCCCGAAAGGATGTCCGCAACAGTTAGCATGGCGGTGTTTAGGACACGGGCCGCTTGCTACACATGCTAGAACAATTCTAGCCAAGGCCTCAACCCATAGCAGCCAAGCCTAAACCCTAAACCCTAAACCCTATAATGTGGGTGTCGGTTTAGGAATATAGGCTCCTTTAATGCGTCGGCTCCGGGGCTAATTCCGAATCTTACCAAAAATTTGGGTGTTCTAATTAATGCGTTTTTTTGTGGCTGGGGTGATTTTTTGGTGGCGGGGCTGTGCTATTTGCTGATGGTCAATCTTAAGGCAGCCACGACCTAAACCCCCACCCAAACCCCCACCCAACCCTAAAACCCTGGCCCTGAAGCCCGAAAATCTCTTGCAGAATTGTTTCGCTTATTGGGGCGTCAGGAATGAGACTTTGTACTACTACTGTACTACTACTGTATTACTATTGTACTGCTACTGTATGCCTTGCTTATTGGGGGGGGCTGCTAGGGTGAACCGCCGAATTGGGAATTGGACCCTTGCTCGACAAAGGCCTCTCCAGTACTAAAGTTTGTATAAGAAATTCAATTTTGGGTCCAATCTGGACCGACCCCCCTTTTGGAAGGGTTTAGGGCTTAGGGTTTAGGGTTTGTTAGGGTTTAGGAGTTTAGGATTCGTTAGGGTTTAGGGTTTGTTAGGGTTTATGGTTCAGGGTTTAGGGTTTAACACTACTACTGTACTACTATTGTGCTACTATTGTACTACTGTACTATTATTGTACTACTACTGTACTACTATGGTATTACCACTGTACTACTGTTGTATTACTATTGTACTACTGCACTATTATTGTACCACTACTGTACTGCTACTGTACTACTATTGTACTACGGTACTATTATCGTACTGCTACTGTAGTACTACAGTACTACTATTGTGCTACTATTGTAATACTGTACTATTATTGTACCGCACCAAGCTTCAGACGTGGTCGATTTGTGGGTGGGAGTGTGGGAGTGTAGGTTACGGAGGCTAAAAGTGTTCAAAACGAAGGGGTTTTTAGTCTTGGTAGTAATCTTGGAGTGATCGGGGCTTGGTTTCCAGCATTTGGTGATCCCCAGACCCGCGACCCCCGACCGCGCATTCACGCAGAACCGCAGACCCTGCACCCAAGCCAGCCCCCAAACCCCGGCACCTCCCAATTCCCTGCCACTCAGACCCTTGACCCCTGTCCGGCGTCACCGGCTCCATATTAAATAGAGTTTATTTTTTTGGTTGGGGGGGGCGGTTTAGGGTTTATACAAATTGTTAAGGGTTTGGGTGCCAATAAGTTTTGACCGAAACGTTTTGACCGAAAGTTTTGACCGAAACTTTTTTTTCGATCCGTGTTTGGGATTGCTGGCCGGGAGGGGGGCTGGGCTGGGCTGGGCTCGGCTGGGCTGTGGGCTGGTGGGCCGGGCTGGGGGCTGGGGGGGGCGTGGCCTGGACTCGCTGGGCTTGGGGCTGGGGCTGGAGGTGTTGGGGCTGGACTGGGGGGCTGGGGCCGGGGCTGGGCTTGAAGGTCCTGTTTGGTGGATTTGCTTTTTTGACCGCTAATCATCTTTTGGACCGCTAATCATGTTTGGAGGGTTTGCTTCCTGGACCGCTAATCGTGTTTGGCGGATGTTTTGCTTGGACCGCTGATCATGTTTGGTGAATTTGTTTTTTTTGGACCGCTAATCATGTTTAGTGGATTTGCTTTTTGGACCGCAATCATGTTTGATGGATCTGCTTTGTGGACCGAAGCAAAGTTGGTTTTTGCCCTTGTGTTATATCTATTTTCTTGGAAGCTTACACCTGCTGCTTAGAGGCATTTTATAGTTGTGCGGGATTGTTTTTGCTTTTTGACTCTTCTGGAAAAGACGGGAATCAACAACTGCAGAAAGCATTTGCTCACGCAGCTGGGGTAGAAACTGGGACTCGCCTCTGAGACTTTGTCTCGGCCTCAGCATTTAGGAGAGGTTCTTCAGTGCAATGCTCCTCCAGTGTTCATGTTGCAGCCACGGCAGGCTGACCGTGTCTGGTTTGCGAGTGCTGTCCAACAACGAGCCGTGGATGGACATGTCGGAGGAGGAGCCTAGCTTCTTCCGTGCTTCGACGAAGACCGTTGTTGACTAATCCATCTTCCAGGAGAGGCAGGAGTATTTCGAGCGCCATTGTCGGCTCAGCCTGCTGACACCGGTCGGCTACTTCTGTTTGGTTGGTAGTTCTTGCTCGTGTTGTCCCGTGCTCCTTAGGCGGGCACGATTGTTGTGGATGCTGCTCTGATCTCAGGAAAAAGCCAAGTTAAATTTGGTTCGATGAAGTCTTTCGGTCAGAACCTTCGGCCAGTACAGGTATTACTCGTACTCAGGATTGGGGCAAGCCGCCTGTGCCAGAACGCTCGGCCTGCTGCGTGCCAGCCTTTGCGAACTGGCAACAAACCGAAAACGTACATATTGCTAAGGTGCGTACTAAAGGGAGATGCCGGACTGGTTTCACGAAGAAAACAGAGAAGGCAGGCCACACCCCATGCTGTTTCCCAGTTGCCAGCATTGCTGTTGACTGCAGGCTCGTATTTCCGACGCCGAGCGGGCGCGGAGCCATGCTGCCCAACCTTAGATTGTATAAGAGGTTCTCGCATCTCAGCATGTCAGGATGCATATGAGCACTGGCTGCTCGATTGCGCAATAGAGGCTCCGCAAGCCTATATTGCAGTAGTATACGTGTTGCGGGAGTCCTTGTGCACTTTTGATTCCCAGCCGCCTCCGCAGGAAGTGGCCGCCAACGGCTTGTACATGGAGCTGTCCTGGTGTCGAAGCCTCAGCGTCGGCAACCATGTTGTGCACATGCCTGTCAACCTTGGTAGTCATCCTGATGTGTGTGTGTGTATCAATTGGCTGTCACCTCTGGTGTGCACACGCTGCCGCTTCCGACCATGTTTCGTCCATTGTTTTCTGAGAATCTCTGCGATGGCAGACATGCAACTCAGAATTCAAGCAGTTCTGTGGAGCCACGCGGCGGGGTTGTACTTGTCGGGGACTGCCCGATTTTTCAAACACGAGTGAAGACGGAACCCCTGTAGGAGTGTGGGGTCGGTTTGGTTCTCGAAGGAAGCCAAAAAGTGTTGGCCTTGCTGGAATCGTTGTCTATAAGTTGAGCTGCTGTTTCGACACACTGGTATGTTGATCCAAGATCAAACCGTAAAACGTCGAGGCGACGGCGCCAATTGGGGGCAGCCAACACGCTGCTATCGCAAAGCACTCGTTCGAGAGCGCATGCCCTCGCCACAGATTCTTACGTGCTTGGTTCCATGCCATTACTTTCTTACCCGGACGTATACTTATATCTGTGCCTCGACCTATCCCGTACTACACGCGCAGGGCATATACACGCATTCAGCCCCTCATCTCTAAACCTCACAGAGCCCAGACCTCGTACATCCGGACCCTGCATCCACCGATCACATCAAAACTCCGTGCTCAGGACCTTCGGACTTAAGTGTTGTCTATCTTAACCGAGCGCATGAATCGGGATCCGATACAGGAAGTCAATAAAAAAATGAAATACTGAGGATTTTGGAACCTTTGAGCCTGGGAAGCCTTTCGAACTCCTAAGGATTTTGAAAGCCCCGCTTGGATTGCTGGAATTCAGACCCCTCAGAACATTTCGAGGTTTGCCTACAAAAGCAGGCGATTAAGCAGCACAATCGGCCGGGTGATGCAAACAAATAGTTGCAACAGCATACTACTGCACGATATACCTGTTTGTGCGGGTCAGCTTCGCGGGTCAGTTTGCAGAATGTAGGCAGGCTGGCAAGAGCAGGTACGTATGCGGGTCTGTAGGCAATTAGGCATGTCAGCTGATTAGGTGGTTGATGAAGCAAAAACTGATCCACAGACAGGCAGGAAGGTCGGCGATGGTAGGTAGCTAGCTCTTGCCGTTGAGATCTCATTCTCTTGCTCATTGCTGCACTTCAGTCTTGAAGCCATCACGAGGGCGCCCAAGACGCAGCCC